TGAGTTTTATAAACAACTGACTTGAGGTAACTCTATAGAAAAAAGACAGGTGGCGATAAATCTGGTGACCTCGGTGGCCACTTAATAGGACCTCTTCTTCCAATCTATTTTTTTGGATAATTAGTATTCAACCAGTGCCTTACTGGAGCTGCATAGTGAGGAGATGCTCCATCTTGTTCGAAGTGCAGCAGATCTTCGTCTAGAATTAGGTTGCGTTGATGATTTCTTTGGTTCTCTAATTTATGCACTATTAAAGGTTCGATGGTGTTTTCCAGCATATCGAGATAAATATTGCCACTGAAATTGTCTGATATGGACAAGGAGCCAATTATAGCATCCCTTAATATTCCTGCCCAGACATTCAGTTTTTCAGGATATTGAGTGTTGAGCCAAAGTTTCACAATTATTGCTTCACACTGCATAATTATTATTTAAAGCACTAGATTAGTATTCAACTAGATTAGATAGGATAGGAAATGAGGCGGAAATAATATTAACTATTAAAAGACGAAAACTTAAGTACTTGGGACATGTGATGAGAGTGCAGAACTTTTTAGAGCGGCAGTCAACAGAGTCCGCATAGCCATGATGATTTCCAACTTTCGATAGAAGATGGAACTTAAAGAAGAAGAAAGAACTAGATATTCTTCTTCTTCTTCTTATGGTGCCTATCCTCTGTGGATGTTGGCAATCACAATGACAGCTGCTCTAAATAGATGTATGGTAGTCATTCCTGTCCACTGTGTGATGTTTTGCAGCCACGATGTGCTTCTGCGCCCTTGAGATCTCTAACTCTCAAGTATTTTCTCATTTTCCTAGAGCAGATTGTTGTGCTCGTCTAGTATTAAGTTATGACTTTATGATCCGTTTTCTCCCGTTAATTTTTTGATCTTTTTATATAGGTTAAAAGTGTCATGATTCTGTTCTGTCATTTTAGTCCACGTCATCTACGTCATCTACACGTCATCTACACTTATGTTTTCTTGATTAGTATCTAAGAGTACCATGCTGTTTATTTTGTTGTTGATCTCCTTTTTGACTTCGTCTCTTGTGGTTGTATCTTTCAACTTCTGAATATCCGGACGTTTTTGTGCTTTTCTTTTATGGACTTTTTTCATGTGGAGTTTGAAACGTCCTAGTAAAAGATTATGGTTTTGTGGAACATCTGCTCCCGGATATGCTTTTGCGGATTTTACGGAAGTCTGAAATCGTTTGTTGATGATGATGTAGTCAATCTGGTTTCTAATATTTTTTTTTGCGGTCAGCTGGAGATTTCTAGGTCTAGAGTCTTCGAGGTGGTAATTGCAAAAAGGTGTTCATTATTACACCATCCGTTTTCCTGGCAGAACTAAACAAGACTGTCTCCTCTATTATTGGATAGCATTTTTATATTCTTTTCAATGATGTATTACAAGTAGAGGTCTGCAATTTAAACTTTTTTGGTTGTGGTGGTTGCGGTCTAGGGAGTTAATTAGGTGAGTTCTCTTTCATGTCATTTTACTTCCCTCTTACTATTTTAGAAATAGTTTCAAGCATTTTTCGATATCAGTTTTGTTTGTGAGATATAGCCCATTGTAAATTTTAAAATTGACACACTGTATATCATTTAACTTGGATATGTCACAAGAATACACTTTCAGAACCTTTTTATTATTTTACTTTCATAAAAATGCACAAAAATATATTGTTTCTGATCCTGCGACTGTTATTCAGAATTAAAAGCAATACAGAAAAATTCAGCTTTTTTATTTCGTTTGTTCTTTTTGTCTTTTTTCTGCCTTCACGTGTGAAACATAAATAAAATCACTTTTACTCCCACTAGCAATTTAAGTCTTGCAATATTGAGGAAATGCTTGTTTTGTTTCTCATATAAAGAAGAACTATGAGCAAGCAAGTGTTGTATTCCTATTTGTGTAGGATAGTTTCTTTTCTGGCTTTATTGTTTGTATGTTTATATTTATATTGCAATAATTATATTATTTTGGCTCTTTCGGTGATAAATACTATTTTTGTATTGTTGATTTATTTTTGTGTAGTTTTCTTCTGTATCCATACAGTTTTAGAATAATTTTATATATTTTATGTAATAGTCAAAATATTCACCTATTGTACGCCGCAACTTATTATCAAAATATGGTGACAGGTAAAAAACTAGAACATCGTAAATTAAGTTTGAATTTAAATAACCAAATGGATTAAATGTTCAAAACGTTTTCGGGCTGGTCAATCTATCTTCAGTGGACCTAAAAGCAAGTAATCCCACTATATTAATAAAAACCTAAAGTAAAATTGAGGCTAGTAGAAGCATAGTGGACTAAGCCCAAATTGAATGAATGGAGATAAATGGGTTTCAAAATGGAACAAAATTTTCTTTAAACAATTTTTTAAAGCTTATCGTTACACATTGGCCAATGTGTAACAATAAGACTAACAAAGAGAATTGAAGTAGTATTGTAAAAATAATACCTCAATCAACCATGGGAGCTTATCGTCTATACCTTGTCTAGCTCAGTATCTCAAGGGTGAATTTGTCTTGTCTTAAAATAGGGATTGAACCTGAGTTCTCAGTTGATACCAAATAAGACAAATTTTAACATATTTATTTAAAAGAATAAAAAAAACACATTAATTGACCCTGCCAAAGCTTAACAATTGATAAAATACTTATTGCTTTGTTCGATGGCTACTTGTGTGTCCTAGCTACTAGGTCCTCCAATGGAATATTGTAGGTTGGAGAGCTGCAGGTACAGGTGGTCCAACGGTTTGATGTGGTCGTACGGTTTGATGCGGTCAATAATCCCCGTGAATCCAATACGCCAATAAATCCAATAAGATGGTATATTCCCGACAATTCTTTGAATATTTCCAATAAAATATTAAATATTCCCAATAAACGTTGAATATTATCAATAAAATATTCCTGATAAAACTAAAACAAAAGGAATAGTTTGAATTAGAAACACATCAAGCAAAAAGGTTTAACTTCCTTGCCATCTTACAGTTATAATTACAGAAATAGCGTATGGCAGAGATAAAATGAAATATAATAATTGTTACTATGATTGTCATTTAAACTCTGTTCTTCTTAACGGTGCCTTATCCTTAAGGACGTTGGCCATTACATTTGCCCATTTAATCTTATTGTGTAGCAGCCCTGAATAGTTCTATGGAGGTCATGTTCGTCCATTGCCGTAGGTTTTTAAAGCCAAGAGTTGCGTCATCCTCCTGGTCCCTCTTTTGCTATTGACTTTGCCTTCGATTATAAGTTTGGAGCAGTTCATACTTTTAATTTCTTATAATGTGACCAAAATATTGTGTTTTCCGTTCTTTATATATAAGCATAAGCCTCTTTCCTTATTCATCTTCCGCAAGACTTCCGCATTTGTCGTATGGCTCATGTAGGATATTATGAGCATTTTACGGTAACACCAGAGTTCGAATGCTTGGATTTTTTTTGTGTTGCTTCTTTCATTGTTTAGGCTTCAACACCATAGAGCAAGGTGGAGAAAACATAGCACTTAAGTATTCTTGTTCTGAGATGCCCAGCTGGCGGTTGTATAGATTTTGTTAAAGAGTCCTTATGCATATATATATATATATATATAATATATATATATATATATATATATATATATATATATATAAATATATATAATATATTATGTATATATAAAACAATGTGCTTTTGAAAGAAGTAAGGTACAAGTGTCGGAAATGCGGTCAGAATTATAGAATAAATATGACAATTAAAGTACTTAAGCCAAGAAAATTTGTAGACCATAAAATGAGTCTAATTATAATTTTTGCCTTCTTTTATAAAGATCAAAGAGACAAAAATAATCCCCCACGTTAGAAGTTGTTTTGACAGAAAGTCGGAAACTACTTGAAGTTAGCACAGATGTCATAGGATGTTGCCATTTCATGAAACTAACTTGTCTGTCAACACAGAACACAAAGAGAGAGAGCAAATATTTAATTTACGTGACAGAAAGAGAGAGTAAATAATGATAGAGGAAGAAATGAAAACAGGGGAAGAAATATAGAGGGACAGAGAGGGCGCCAACTACTTTTTAAATAAAAAAGATAGCAAAAATTAACCGAAGATAAACAAATTAATAAATTAATAAAGAAATTAAAATGAGATAATTATTTAAATATAAATTAATAAGATGTGACGTTTATAACGGTACAACCTTTACCATTAATGACAGAATTTAAGATTTGAAGACATCTGGTTTTTCTTAAGACAGGATTTGACCTGAGGCATTGGAATTACTTTAATACTAGGATATAATGACAAGTCATTAAAACAGCAAGTTAGTTAAGTATTATTAATAGCACAATAGTTAATATAGTAGTAATATATAATAGTAAAAATAGCAAAAATATAGTGCATATTATTTCAAATGATGTGAAAAATATCGAAGAAGAGACATATTGTCAAATATTTTTGAGATGAGTCTTACTAGATACAGATTAATCAGAAAAATGGCCAAAAATAGATTCCGTGGGCAGAAACCCAGAAATACATAAGAATTAAAATCACGTAAATAAAAGAAAAACAATTTTTCTATGTTTTTAAATGCATTTTTATCGTTGTTTATATTATTCTTATGAACATAAAAACAATTGCATTTAATAAAAATGTCTTACTACGACAAACGAGATATATTTGAATATTCAAAACGCTCGTAATGCCGACAAACAATTCTTTCACGTTTTACGCGGCTATTAATTCAATGAATATTTAGCAACACGTCTATGTTGTTCTGAAGCGTTTACCAAAACCGAAACCTAATTAAATAAAGTAGGTGAGTAGGTACAGTTGCACATAACTATGTAAACTTTATATAAAAACTTTACTGATTGCATTTCTATCGTTTTCCAGCCAATGGTCCGAGACGATTTCAATACGTGAAGCAACACTTTTAACAATATAAATACTATCCAAACCGGGATCAAATCAGTGCAGTGGTATCAACCATTCAATCAGCATTACAATGAGAAAAGTGGTGGTGTTTTTTGGTGTTTTAGTCCTAGCAGTGCTAGTGCAAGGGCATGCACTTAAGGGCGAAGAAGAAGAACTGCAATTGGATCAAGCGGTAGCTGCTTCCCATCATGGCCATCATCACGAGTCAGGTGGTGGTCATGAAGGTCATGAGCATCATCATGAAAGTCACGGCGGTAAAGGAGATAAAGGATATCATAGCCATCATCACCACGATAAAGGAGGCCATGGTAAGCACGGCAAGCACCACTCAGCCGGACATCATGCTGAAAAAGGTGGTCACCATAAGTCGCATCACGAATCCGGAGGTCACCATTCCTCTCACCATGCTCACGGCGGTCATCACAAAGGCGGTAAATTCGGCGAGAAGAAAGGCCACAAAAAGGGACAGAAAACCAAGGGATACCACGTCAAAGCTCACAAGGACGAATACCACAAGAAACACAAGTTCTACGATGACGCCCATAAAGGAGGTCACCACGAAAAACACGGTAGCCACCATGGTCATCACGGATCCAAAGCCGGTCATCACAAGAAGGGAGGTTCCCACAAATCTGGTTACCATGACGATCATTTCGGTAAGAAAGGATTCGGCCACAAAGGACATTACGATGAAGATCACAAGGGATACAAGGGTCATGGAGGTCACGAAAATCATCACTCCCATCACTCAGACTATGGAAAGAAAGGTGGACACGAGGGACATTCTTCACACGGTTTCTCAGACAAACACTAGGTTATCAATTTTTGGATGTGATTTTGATTTATGTGTGTTAAAGTTGTTGATTTTGTTGTTTCTTAATAAAATATTAAAATAAAACTCTTGATTTTTACTTATTTAATAAGCAACTAATTTAGTCTACACACTACAAATGCATACATATAAATAACACACACAAACACACACACACCACACACATATATATATATATATATATATATATATATATATATATATATATATATATATATATATATAAAGAGGTTATATTATGTATACTGCATATTTACATATATACAGTGTGTCCAATTTAGTCGTTTTATTTTAAGTTTTTTAGTTTTATAAAAAATTTTACATGTTTTAAAACCTTTTTTCACAAAACCAAAAATAAAAAAGTTTTTGATATGGTGTAGACTTACGGGACTACCTCCGATTCCTTCCACTATTAAATTTTGGACTAAAGGCAACTAATATTGCTGTATTGTTTTAAATACGTTTCTCTCATTTCCTCGCATTATAAGTGCATAATCACCTTTAACTTTTTCTTCTGTATATACAGGGTGTCCAAAACTTTCCTTAATCAAAGAAAACCGGAGATTCCCTCAGATAATTTTAGACTATTATTTACCCAATTCACCTTTCCGAAATGCTTCCAAGTGGAGCTACTTTGGAAGATGGAGCGTTTGTAAAGTAGTTTTTTTATAACTGCACAACGCTTTTAATTAGAAAAATAAAACTGGTAAATTATGTATCCGCAGAGTTGAAATCGATATCATTAATTGCGAAATTCTAATTAACAGTTCATAGACGTCCGTTTTGGGTAGATCAACGTGTTTTAAAATGCACAATTTTTTTGTCTGTATCTTTTTAGCATTTCTAATACTAGATAATAACACTACAATAAGAACTACGGGAAAAAACACCTAACCAGATCTGCAAAGAAACACAAGGTATGGATGACACCAGACATACTAAAACTAATGGATGAAAGACGTAAAATGAAGAATAATGCACAAAAATACAGAGAGGTTGATAAGAACATAAAGCAAAGAATAAAAAAGGCCAAAGAATTATGGATTGAAGAACAAAGTGTAGAAATGGAAAACTATGAAAGAAAATATGACACATTCAATGTACATAAAAAAGTTAAAGAAATTACAGGAACTCAAAGAAGACATAAAATAAGTTTGCTTAAGAAAAAAGAAGGAAAGATTATTATAGATGTAAAGAAAAACTATTGTTTTGTTTTTCTTTAATAATATTTCTATTTATATTCTCATTTTGTTACGCCACTGTCAAAACATTAAGTTCTTCTTTTTGTTTTCATGTTAGATATACTTGTGAGGTGTCTTGACAGTGACAATTCATTAATTTTACCATTGTCAATTGTCTGGCCATTATTACTTTTCCCTATAATTTGGAAAATTAGAATATAAGCTTAAATGTTGTTTCTTTTTAGAGGTAATTTATTTGTGAATAATTAATATTGTACAGAAAATAATAAAGTTCACTTTTTTACAGAGAAACGCAATTAAGATTATTTTAAAGTTTGCTGATAAAAAACATTACAAAACAACATTTTTGCTAACAGAAAAAGGTATAATAATTTTTAATTATCAAAATGGCAAAACTGAGATTTGAATTTACTGTTAAATCATTGCAAACAGATACTAAAACAAATATTATTCGCATAACCACAATTGAGAATAAAGAAAATGAAATTTTTGCAATGCCTCATGATATGCAAAATATTTCCTATCATGAAAAAATCCAGACGACAGCAGCTTTTCAGAAAGTAAAAAGGGCTCTAACAAAACGGGGTACTACAAGAAAAGTTTGGATTGCAGATGAAAATATTTTAAAAGTTTATATGGATAAAGATGGAAATATACAATTCAATGATTTTCGTTTAGAACAACAAGATATTCTAACATCCACAACTGGTATCCCACTAGATGCATTAGAACAGATCTTGGAGAGAGTTACAAAGTCAAATGAAAAACAATATATTGAACCCTTAAATAAAAACAAAGTATCCGAACAATTTGTGATAGAAAAATTTACAGTAAAAATGTGAACGCTTTACAATGGATGGAAACATTTGAAAATGAGTGCACAAGATTACAAATAGATCAAAATACGGAAAAAATTGAACTTCTAAGATTATTTTTAGAAGGGTCATGTGTGGATTGGTATAGGTCAATGCTTATAAAATATATTCAATTGGGATAAATGGAAAAAACAAATTTTGTGACACATTTGCAGACAAAGGGTGGACTTCAGTGAGGTATGCTTTTCAGTTCAAATACAAAAATAGTTCATTATTAGAATATGCTCTTAAAAAGGAAAGACTCATACTACAAATAAACAAATCATTAGATAAAAAGGTATAATTGATTTAATAGCTATTGGACTTCCAAATTATATAGCTGATAGAATTGATCGAGACACTTTGAAAGATACAGAAGATCTCTTCAATGAAATTAGAAGTTTAGAACACTTAATTAAAATTAAGACTTCAGAAAAAAACGAAAAATGTTACTTTGAGAAAAAACAAGCCTGCAAAATTTGTGAAAAAGAAGGAAAAGGTTTACGCTACCACCTGGAATCAAGTTGCTGGTTCAGAAGCAAAAGTGATATTTCGAAAAATCATCAGGTAAGAACTGTCAACAACCATAAATTAGAAATAGAATTAAATGAAACAAATCCAAAATTACTAATTAGAATTAAGTTACTATTGAATGACACTTTAGAGATCTATGCAGTATATGGTTCAGGAGCAAATGTGTCATTGATTAATATAAAATTATTACAGATAAAAGCACATAATAGAGGTGACCTTCAAATAGTAAACATGAGGACAATTAATGGTGTTAAAAAAACAAATGGTATAGTAACACTTAAGATAAAAATCTATAACATTGAAAAATAAATGGTGTATTTATTGTAGATAATGAAAATTTCAATTATGATTTTTGGTTGGGTTAGATTGTATTAAGAATTTCAGATTAATTCAAAATGAAGATCTAAGGATTACACAATACAACAACTCTAAAGAATTTGAAAATTTGTCAATTATTGATAATATGAGTATTCCTGAGTTTCCAGGTAACATATATTTAAATGCACCTAAAGAAAATATTAGTAATATATACAAATATGAAATAAATTTTAATGAGAGTATAAATACTGACAATTTTGAAATATCAATTAATCATTTAGATTTAAATCAGCAATTAGAAATTGAACAACTGATTAATAAATATAAATCAGAATTTGCTAAAGACAAATATGATGTAGGTACCATAAGAGAGTCTAAAGCTCATATTGACTTAATTGTAGATAAATACTGCTCCAAACGTCCATATAGATGTACCATTGAAGATAGAAAGGAGATAGAAAGTCAGGTAGCACAACTGTTAAAGAATAATTTAATTGAAGAATCATATAGTCCATTTGCGGCTCCAGTGACACTAGCATACAAAAAAAGAGGAGGACAAAAAGACAAGACTGTGCATAGATTTCAGTGAACTAAATAAAATCGTTGTTCCTCAATCACAACCTTTTCCAATGATCGAGGACTTAATGGTAAAAACTAACAATTGTAAATACTTTTCTACTTTAGACATAAATTCAGCATTTTGGTCAATTCCAATGAGAGTACAAGATAAAGAAAAAAACAGCATTTGTGACACAAGAAGGTCATTTCCAGTGGACTTGTCTCCCATTTGGTTTGAAGACGGCTCAACAATTTTTCCACGAATTTTAAGCAGCATTATAAGAAAATATAAACTCTCAGACTTTACAGTCAATTATATAGATGATATCCTAATTTTTTCAAAAACCTTTGATGAACATATATTACATTTGTCCAAATTATGTGATGCAATATTAAATGAAGGTTTCAGACTAAAATTTTCTAAATGTATGAATGGTTGACACAAAAAGGCCTGTTCCCTTTAAGGGAAAATATTTAAACATTGCAAGTTCTAAGAAGTAGCCTAATTGATAAGAAAATTAATTGATATATGTGACATTTTAAGATACAAAGGGTATCGAAAAGTTATTAGATAAGAGAGAAATTAAAAAGTAGAATTTAGCAAAAGTAGCGCCAATTACTTTAATTTTTAGGATAAAAACAAAACAATGAACAAAAATAAAAGGTAGTTATTTTAATATCAATTATTTAGAAAACGAGATGATAATCAATAGAAAATTAGAAAAATGTAAAATATAGAAATAATGAAGCTGTTACATTATGTAGATCGTAACAATGTACATATATTATTTGTGCTGATTGTTCTCGATATAGAAATTCGCTAGTATTTGAATAATAAAATTTCTTCGGCTAACAACAATTAAATCTCTAGAAAAGCAATTAACCTTGTAATAAAAACACTTCATACTAACAAATTAAAACCTTATTTTGTTCTCGAAAATAGCTCAATTCTAAACAATTAATTTCTGACTGAAACTAATTACAACTGCCAGTTACAGATTGATAATTTAATCTCAAATGAAGTGGTGCCCTCCAAATTTTAATTAACGATTAAAGACATAATTAAAGTGATATGAAAATGATCTTGAATAGATTTTTCAGAGTGTGATCTAATGAGATTTATCGCCCGACGTTCCGAATCGGAAAAAACTAACAAAAAGTCGCTATGCTGAAATAGGCTTGTCTGTGAAATTGCTTTTTTTCTGCCCATGACACCTCTAAATTAAACGCTCCAATCTTTTATCCGAAAATTCTACGGTTCTTGTAATAAATGATATAAAAATCAGTAATACTTTGTTCTATCTTGATAAGTTGCCTTATAATTATTTATCTACGCATATTAATTATTCATTAAACAACAATGAATCCCTAATATAATTTTAAAACTCTATTATTAAAGCTACCTGAAACGCGTCTAAGTCTATGGTTGTTATATTGAATCAAGTTTTTAGATTATGGATCCAGAAAGGAGTTGTTTTATCGAGCCTCTCTTACCGATCACTTTTTCTTCGTAACCAGCTAAAGTAAAAAATCTTCTTCTTTTAGTGCCCAGTCCAATTATCAACCGGTAGTGACCTTGTGGCAATAATAATTTTGTTTACGGCATTTCGAAACCTATTAGCGGATGTCTTTTGATATCACTCTCGGACATTTTCGAATCAGGATTTTCTTCGTCTGCTTGGGCCTCTTCTTTCCACGATATTGCCCTGTATTATGAGATGTAAAAGGTTTTACCTCTTTGGATGTCTCATTACATGGCCAAAATATTGCAAGTTTCGAATTTTTACTGTTTTTGTTGTTTTTGTGCTCTTTTTCCTGTCTTCATATTTACACTGCTTCAGTCGTATTATGACCAATTTATATGTTTACACATTGATACCAATACAAATTTTTTATAATACGGAGGTCTTATTCATAAACATCCTTTTTTTTTCTTATTGCGCCATCTCCTTCCAAAGATTGGCGATCCAAATGGAAATGGTACATTTGCAAACCGCTGCACGAAATATTTCTGTGGATGAGCGGTCAAATCATCTCCTTAGGTCTTTCAGCTACGAATTCTGGCATCTTCCAACTTATCTTTTGTATTGTATGTTTCCCTCTTTAATTATGCTGTGTAATTATTATTGTTAACTTATACGCCGAAGTACCTCACCATTGGTAAATTGTATCAATGGAATTCTCAGCATTCGTCTGTTTTTTCTGTTTCAGAGTCCATTTCCAACTTTCACAGCCATAGAGCAAAACAGAGAAAACATCACGTCTGATCATTCGAGATCTGAGCTGTATACTAAGGTCTGATCTAGTAAAAAAATGTGTTAATGTTATGAATGTTTTCCTTGCTTGTTCGATTCTTGATAGGTGAAGAAAAATGTCTATCATTGTCAAAAAGTGTCTAAATGTATTCTCTTTATCTCTCAGTTTGTCTTCTGCACCTATAATTATCTCGTTATTATTATTGCTTAATATTGTTTTTTCTTTCTTTTTATGTCTACTTGTCATTTCTTTCACCTTTTAATGGACATTGAAGGTGTCGTATATTTCCTGAAGTTGTTCAATTTCTAGGTATTTGGTTGATATCCAGTATTCTTTAGCTTCTCGGCACCTTTTAAAAACTTTACACTTATTAATTCCAACCCGTCTTAATAACTCTAGTAATGAATCTTACAGATTCATTACAACTAGAGAAGTCTTTATGTACAATGAATGCTACGCCATTCTGGTGGTTATTATGTTCTCTCGGAGTAAAATAGGTCATGATCGTCTATGCTACGTTTACTAGTACCCGGCCAGCGCATTTAGCTTATCCCAAGAACTGGTATGTTAAGCCTTAAGTCACGTATAGTGATTTGGGTTTACCAGACTCATAGAGACTTCTCATATTCCATGTGCCTATTTTCTTGATTTTATTCTTATTTTATTGTGGTCTGGGAAGTCCTGTATGCTTAATTTCTTGTGTCAGATCTTGGTGTCTGAAGACTATGACCAGTATACCTTTTCCTATCATATGTCAATGCCATTATGAATAAACTAGGGAATAATAAAAGTATAGTGAACCAGTTCTTTCAGTATTTCTAATATGTCCAAAGTGTTCTAATGTCCGTTTTTTGTATAGTGATAAGCACTTTACGTTATTTTCTTATTCTCTGATAACAGAATTAGATATATAGAATAAACAGAACTTAACCCTCAAGTTAAGCGTTCTACAACCAAACATTTTCTACCACCAGCTCTCACCAATTAAAAGAAAGGATAAATCTATCATTTAAAGAACGAGAATAGGGCACACACGCCTTGCACATGGACACCTAATAAACTCCAGTAATCAGATGATAAAACTATAGCAATATAGCAATCTGTACGAACTCTCTGTCCTCTATGCAGTCCATATGAAACGTACATTCTATCCATCCAATAGTTCAGGAAATCCAGAGTATATGTAATCGTCTTCAAACTAATGGAATTACAGTAACAATATTGTGGGTCAGGCATTCAAAACAGACATTCAAACATCATCAGATCTAAAAGAACAATCCAACATAAAATAATGGACCTTTGGAATGATCAATGAAAAAAAACAATACCAAGTTAAGCGTTCTACAACCAAACATGTTCTACCACCAGCTCTCACCAATGAAAAAAGGACAAATCTATCATTTGACGAATGAGAGTAGGGCACACACGCCTCGGCATTTTAAGAGTTTATGAACTACCTAATAGGGAAATTTTTCTCATCGGAGAACACTATGTTCGAAAATTCGCCACATTCGTGCAGGCGTAACAACTCCTTTGCTTCTTCAAGCCGAACTTTTATTTGCTTTGGTGTAAGATTGTGTGCTTTTTGAAACTTGCAGGGCTTGACGTTGAGCTCCTTTTTCAATATTCGTTGCATGCATCGCTGGGATATTTTTAGTTCTTTGGCCATTTAATTACCACTACGACATGGATTTCGCTCAAGTCGAGCCTTCACTTTCCGAATCATTTCAGGTAATGTTGCTGTTTTTTGTCGTCCACCACCATAGCGTTTGGTAATACTACCAGTATTATTATAACGAGTTATGGTGCGATACAGAAAGCAATCACACTATTACGTATAAATTCCATTGCGAAACTTTTGTTGTATGTATAAAACTTAAATGTAAATTTTTGACGGCTTATAAACAATATACTGAACTGTTATCAGGCCAACTTTGACGTAACTGTCATTATCGATTTGTCAGATATATCGATGTGAAGTTGGTAACAGTTCAATTGCGTAACTCTGTATGTGAAGTTAGGAGGATTTATTTCGTTAAACCTATCGTTATTGCTATACTTTTACTGTCTGTAAATATTACATTGTCCTTTATTTTTGTTTGTGGAAACGTGATAAAGACCACGCTTTAATGCCAGCATTTCAGTTGTACAGATGCTGACTTAATTAGATAATAATACTGTTGTCCAGAATTCTGTTGGTATACAATGTTTATCAAAATCACGAACTGATTCCGGCATGTTCTTTTATCACCACTTTTGTGTAAATTCACCAATAATCCCCAGCAGAAAAATTTGTGTTGGTGCGTCTTTATAATAAACAAGCCTTCATGGTATTTTACAAGGTTTTTATAAACATTATGCCCATTTGAACTTTTATTAGCATTTCACATATAAAATTTGTTGTTCTTAATTACCAATTTTTGTGCAATATGCAATATTTTTGGGTTAATATAAAAAATTAAATGTTTTAAATTCCTTTGATTTAGCCAAGTACACAATAAAAATATAATAATTTCGTATGAGTTAAATCCCATATTGGTCTCTAACATAACGAGCCTGTGGATATGCTGATAAAAAGTGTCAAACATGGCTTTACTAATAAACTAGCTATCTGTAAATTTATGTGGTGCAAAATTTGGAAAGAATATTGGTCACAACATACTTATACCAACCCTTCTACATACTGTAGTGTACAAAATAAAATACGAATTAGAGCGTGGTTCCAGCCATATAATGATTAAAAAATATATATCACACCTGTAACACGTTGATTTAGCCATACCGGTTATCAACACATCAATACATCAAATTCATGTTATCGAAAATGATCATGGTCAAAATTGTAGCAAAAAAGGTGATTTAGATCATATTTTTTTCGAATGCCAAAAATATAGAGATGCAGGTAATTGTTCTAAAATTGCTAACGAAGAATAAGAAGCGTTCCATTTCTTTTACTTTATTTTCTTTACGTTAAGTGTAAGATTTGCTTTGTCGGCAGATAATTAAGGAATATCTATGATATTAGGGTACCATACATAGAGTACTAAAAAATAAATTAGGGGATCTTCAAGTTAGTTAATTTAAAACTTTTGTTTTTTACCACAAGCAAAATAAACGAACAATGGATTTTTAGGCTATTTTACTGGACTAACGAGAACAAAAACAAGAAACTCATTCCTCTGAAATGTTCATCCAGCGTAACACTCAAGTTTGGGAAGCGATAAAAGAGAAACAAAAAATTGTATAGAATGAGAATGGTTAGAGACTGATTGTGAATTTTTCTTAAGTAATTAAGTTCGTCAAGTTTTATTGTTT